AGGTATGCTACGTAGGTATGCTACATAGGTATGCTACATAGGTATGCTACATAGGTATACTACATAGGTATACTACATAGGTATACTACATAGGTATACTACATAGGTATACTACATAGGTATACTACATAGGTATGCTCTCTGGATCCCTAGTTCCACTCAGAATTACAAATGAGGTTTCCTGTATGTGTGTTGTCCATTATACTAAACTGACGTTCAAAAGAAAGTACACACCTGATGCGTTGGTACAATATATTCCTGAAAACAGCGTAATATTTAGAAAAGTGTTTTGATTGCGACTCACAAGTCACAAACATTGAGTACGTGTTGCAATAACACCATAGATATCGTACCCAATTGGAACATTGCTAGCAAAATATTTACGTTGTTTTGATAGTCTCAAAGCACCAAGTGTGTACTTTCTTTTGCACATCAGTATATTATACTAAAAGCACATTGCAGCGTCATTACATGAAACGGAAATCTTCATATTTTGGGTTTAAATCATGATATGAACCCGTGTAAAAATATCATTTAAACTATCAATTATTACCTCTACTTATAAGGGATATAGTCATTTCACTTAGAAATGCGTTTCCCTGCCGAGAGGCAGATAGTTATTTTACAACAATCTTGTGAACCAATCACATCTCAGCATTCTACATGTTGGTGTGATAATTTCTTGACCGTCAGTTTATTGAATTAGTAAGTAATTTAGGTATATATTCATCATAGCACATTGGATCACATTGCCCGTGAAGATCCGGGTTAAACTTGATCTTCAGTATCCCATGCCTGTCGTAAGAGGCGACTAAAGGGAACGGATGGCCAGGTTCGCTGACTTGGTTGACATATGTCATCGTATCCCAGTTGCGTAGATCGATGTTCATGCTGTTGATTACTAGATTATTTACAGACCGGCGCTATATAGCTGGAATATTGCTGAGTGTGTCGTTAAGCAACAACCAGAACAAGGAGAAAATACTCCCTCTATCTCTTGTTCTACTCACATTAACAAATCAGATCTCTAGTAGTTGTACTGTACGCTACACTGAGTCCACGGCCACACCACCGTGGCGTACTGTACGCTACACTGCGTCCACGGCCACACCACCGTGGTGTACTGTACGCTACACTGAGTCCACGGCCACACCACCGTGGTGTACTGTACGCTACACTGCGTCCACGGCCACACCACCGTGGTGTACTGTACGCTGCACTGCGTCCATGGCCACACCACCGTGGTGTACTGTACGCTGCACTGAGTCCACGGCCACACCACCGTGGTGTACTGTACGCTACACTGAGTCCACGGCCACACCACCGTGGTGTACACTTGTAAATCAACCACGCACCTGATAATCAATATGCACGCACACCTTTAACACAATACAACAGTGGTGATTAATTACGATTCTTTATGAGATCCGAGTCTCGATAACGACCATGTTCGACTTGTTCAGGTAGTCAAGCTGATTCAAGGTGGCGTGATCATAGATCACACAACCTTCAACCTCACCCACATATGTGAACAGGGTACCCTTGTTGTGTGTTTGGATCTGAAGTCTACAATGTTTCGGATGCTGGTAACTCTTTTGTTTGGTCAAATACAATCTTAAATTGTATACTTTCCTTCGCCCAGCGCATTAAGTGTCGCTCTGTTACTGGCTGAAGAGATAGTCCCTCGGGGCGTCCTAGGGACATGTGGCGTGGGACTGCATCCCGTCTCAGCACCATACTCTCTCGGCTTTCAACGAAGTAATAACTGTCTTCCTCCATATCAACCTGATATCGTGAAATGTTCGTTAACTCACCAGAGTCACAGGACATGAGGGTGAGAGAGTGGTGAGAGTTTCACGTAATCAGAGAAGTGTTGTACCGTTACAATTCAAAGTGACATCAAATCCAGAAAAAACGTGACAATTGTCTTGTGTCAAACGTCTTGTCGACATGAAACGAGGTGAGGTGAGGTGAAATTAGGTTTAACGTCGTGCTTGAGAATATTTCGCTCATATGACGACGTGCATGCGTGTGTTTGTGTATGTGCGGCTGCTTGTACTAGCCCAGACTGAAGCTGGTTTTATAGTGCTTGCCCACTGAGATACCATGCCGCAGTGAAGCATGAATACCCCACTCAGACACATTATACTGACTCCGAGCCGACCAGTCCTTGTTAATGCCGAGCGCCAGGTAGGGACCAACAAGTACCATATTTTAACGACTTTTGGTATGACGCGGTCGGGGATCGAACCCGCGACCTTCCGCTCTCCGGGCGGACGCTCTAGCCACTACACCACGGTGACGGTCACATGTAACGAGAACAGCCCGAGACTTCACTGTGTAATACAATTATTTCTCGTCTCAAGTCAAGGGGGGCGATGGGGTAGCCTAGTGGTTAAAGTGTTCGCTCGTCACGCCAATGGTCCAGGTTCGAGGCCCCACGTGGGTACAATGTGTAAAGCCCATTTCTGGTGATATTTCTGGACAATTGCTAAATGCGGCGTAAAACTAAACTCACTCACTCACAAGTTACTCGTTCTACGTCGCCTTTTGTCGTTTATTAGTAAACTGGGTGTGGACAACCAGGCTCGAAGCTCCTACGAAAGTCCTAAATCCATTACAGTTATGAAGCAAAATATTCTCAGGAAGGAAAACATACTAAACATCTGTTCAGCTTCGAACCATGGGTGCCCCATCGCCTGTCCCATCGCGAACATCTGACAAGAACACACAATTCTGAGAAAACGTACTCCCAAATATAATATGTGTTACATCTGACCATTTCCTAAATGACATTGTATGTCCATAGCTGTCCACCCTGCCAGTTTACTCTCATCAGAGGGGTGCACACAGTCTGAGGTCCAGATTCCCAGTAGTCCGACTTCCACTGTTGTGGATTGGCTCGTCACGCCGAAGACCCGGGTTCGAATCCCCACATGGGTACAATGAGTGAAGCCCATTTCTGGTGTCAGTCAGTCAGTCCACTGTTGTGGAAGCTGTGGTGGCTGAGTGGGTTAGACGGCTGACTTTGTGTGCTGGCGATTAGGTGCCAGACTCTGAGTGTGATGAGTCTCAACCCGACAAAAACATTAAAATCTGTACTTTACTGAAAAAGTGTAATCCCAAATAAAACAGGTGTAACCTCTGACAAGACTGAAATATTATGTCCCCAAAACTGGATGTGTCCGCTTGGTGGCCTGCTTCATCAGAAAGGGTTGGGCAGAGGGATAAATAATGTAGTTCGGGGACTGTGAGACAGACTAGTAGACAAGATACAGTTAAATACATGCTAAACGTCAAGTCAAATATTTCCGAATTGCAGTGACAATCGACTGCTTAATGTCACATCTCTTCTTTAGGCTACACACAGCTGCCGCTAATGAGATGCAAGTGAGTGAGTGAGTCAAGTTTACTTTTACTCCTCACTCAGCAATATTGCAGCTATATGGCGGCGGTCTGGACCAGACAATCCAGTGATCAACAGCATCGATCAACGCAATTGGGATACGATGACATGTGTCAACCAAGTCAGCGAATCTGACCACCCGATCCCGTTAGTCACCTCTTATGAAAGGCATGGGTTACTGAAGACCAATTTTAATCCGGATCTTCACGGGAACTGTGGTCCAATGTCCTATTATGAATATATACGTAAATTACTTACTACATTAATGACGATCAAATCTAAACTGACGATCAAATAATAACCACACCACCATGTTAGAATGCTGAGTGAGTGAGTGAGTTAATATTTAACGTCACATCGGCAATATTTCAGCCATATCGTGACGTTGGAATGCTGAGGCGTGATTGATTCAAAATATCATTGCACAATAACTATCTGCCCCTCTCGGCAGGGAAATGCATTTCTTCAATAAATCCCTTGTAACTAGACTTGCAGAATTCTATACTGAATGATTAATAGTTTAAATGATAATTTCTAAAACATATATATATTCCTCAAACATACTGGCGTCCTTACTTGTTTGTATTGTCCGCTTATAAAGACTTGCCTCTCTGGGAGTTTGAATTACTATACATCCATGGGCTAAGCATTCAGTACAGCCTTGGAGCACCCTGCTTCTAATAAAAAAAGCGTTCCCGAGTCAAAGTCACGTGATAACCTTAGCTCAATCGAACTGCTGCTTTCTGACACTTTTAATTCGTTTTTAGTCCTTTAATAACTAGGTTGAAACACGGTAAGAGTCAGCAGTACCATCGGGGTCAGCGTGGTTTTGTGCGTCCAAAGTTGAGTTTTATGGAGGTATAAGAAGATTTGATTTTGATTTAAACATATTTATTCAAGAGAATGGATTGGGTACAAGTTATGCCAACTTAGTGAAACCCTCTCCTATTTACAGTGCTTACATGCAAAAGTGAAACAAACTATATGTACAGGGATAGAAAGATATATACAAAATGATATATACAATACAATGAATACATGAATTATTTAGATCATACACATTATATCCAATCACTGAACCTTTTGGAATTTGATATATATTTTTGAAATTCTCTAAAAAATGTGAATATTGTCACTATACGGAAGATCTGCACTGCCATTTAATAGTACGTCTAGGTTTGTTGGTGCTTTAATGTTACAAATTCTGCTAATATTTTATAATCATTTCCTGTCTGATAACAGAATACAAAGAACATTCCATAAAATAATGTTGAGAATTTTCACAGGTAAATTTACAATTACATTCTGGGTTCCTATGAGACCGATCCTATATAGATCACCATTTAATCTACTATTCGAATATCTTAGCTGGGTATTAATTACATTGAGTTTTCTATTACCAAATGAGAAATATCCTGGTGCTTTTGACTTACGCGAGCTTATATGGGATTTAAAACTTTTAAGGGAAACTGATTCTCTAACATATAAAGAAGAATATAAGAAGAGCGCACATACCTCTTGTGACACGCTAGATGCGAAGGTTGACGCGAAAGGAAACTCAGTATGTAAAATTTAAACATTTTAAGTCACTGACCTTGCAAAACTCTGTTGTTTGGACCCTAGGCTTCTAAGACTCGCCTGTGAGGGGGTGCGGATACTGCTCAGGGAGGAGGTACGTGTGGTGGAGAAGGAGGACTTGGAGGCAGCCCGGGGGAGCGGCATCGCGCACCTGCTGGTGTCACCCTCAGGAGACAATGTTCAGATGCTGGTCGATAACAATATGTCCAAGTCGTGAGCAATCGGAATCTAGCGTGTGTTGTGAAACAACGGGTTATTTCATTTCTCTGCGCGCACAACGCCTTACACATATGTATTGTAGACAGAGCTCGGTCGTGAGAGGACGACGTTACCGTGGTGGGGAGGTCGAGGGGGGATCTACGGACTGGGAGTTAAGCGGATTCCCGAGGCTGCCATCACTCACAGCAGCGTTGTCTCAGTATTGCCTGACAGTAATCACTGACGTAGTTTATTGCCTCCTCACTCTCAGATGACGTCTTGGAGCATGGAAGGTCTGAGGAATTCGTCTCAGACATTGCACTTCGTTGCGCGGAGTTCGGTCCCTTGGTACGCCAGCCAACTAAACCCAGAGGCACAGTTATTGTGAAATTATTTTTTTATTGGGAATCTTGAAAATGAATTGTTGGGTTTGAACCAGGGAAAGAGTGAGTTGAAATGGTCCAAGAAACGTAACCAGGTTCTTGATCCAATTGCATGAAATGGGCAAGAAGCATTACTTTCGAGAAAAATGACAAGCAGTGTCCATATGCTTATCATTTCTGCTCAGTGCAGTCTTAAGAGTGAGTGAGTTTGGTTTTACGCCGCTTTTAGCAACATTCCAGCAGTATCACGGCAGGGGACACCAGAAATGGGCTTCACACATTTTACCAATATAGGGAATCAAACCCGGATCTTCGGTGTGACGAACGAACGCTTTAACCTCTTGGCTACCCCACTGCCCTAAATGACATAAGAAAAATATATGCACGATCATAGCTTTTGAAACTATTTGGTGAACTTACTATTTTAGGGAAACTATTATGAATTAATGAAATAGTTCCCAGAGCTTCAAGTGATTTATTCGCATTAATTACACACGAATACGATTTGCTTTTTGATACGTTTGAATTTCTAGAATGGTGTTGTAACACAGAAGTGGAGGTGTCGGCAAAATTCGTAATTCGTAATAAAATACTCGCCAACAGGGGTCAGACGTCAATTATTTTCCTTCCGCACTCTATACATCGTCATGGCAACCCAGGATAAGTAATATCTGTCATTGGGAGTGTCCCTGCCCCTTGTCACATGTCCGACAGCAAAGTATCAGCTAGGATCTATCAACTAGACCTTTCAGTAACAACTGTAAACAATGGACACCGGAAGTGCTGAGCCGAAACGCACGCTCACACGCATGCGCACGCACACACACGTCGGCTCTCAACTATACGTCCAGGGCCCCGTTCCTCAAAGCGATCGTAGAGCTACGACAGTCTTAAGTCTATGTTAAAGTATGGGACTTACGATCGTCGTAGCGCTACGATCGCTTTGAGGAACGGGGCCCAGTTTATCATGTGCAGATTGGAAGCCCTAACGATTCTCATCACGACACAATGTCTAATCTTGCCACAAGTCACTCCAAACAATTTGGCACAGACTGAACACATCATTGAACAGGGCACAATATTCTCCTATTTTCCTCACGGGTCAAAGTTGAACTTGCAGTAGTTGAAACCAAAGCACACAAGTCTGGTAAAGAAATATCTGCGTATATATCGAGGGCGAACAGAGGATTCTTGGAATCTTTGCCTGCTATGTTTTTCACGACATTCGCGACTTCGTCTACGTGAGCAATGGCCGTGAGGGTCCGGGTTAGAATTGATCCTCAGTAACCCATATGCATGCTTGTCGTAAAAGGCGACTAACGGGATCGGGTGGTCAAGACTCGCTGACTTGGTTCACATATGTCATCGTATCCCAGTTGCGTAGATCGATGCTCATGCTGTTGATCAATGGATTGTCTGGTCCTGACTCGAATATTTACAGACCACCGTGACATAGCTGAAATATTGCTGGGTGTTGCATACTAGTATATACAAATGGTTGAATAACTATGACCCCGTTACGAGAAAGGACAGTTCCGTACAATATTACACCCATGCAATGAGTCCGGCGGTAAACACTAACCAACAACGCGACCAATGGCCTTATGTACTAACTTAACGTTACAATCAATACTATAAAGGACAGCTGCACCTCACCTCCCCAGCACGCATGTTTCTCCGGTTAAATTTAACTCCCATTCTTTAACATTGCACTAAGGTTACCTTAGTGACATACGATCACCTTAGTGCTTTGTGATTTCAAGGAGGTACTGGTTTACAGACAACACAGCTGACGATTACATTATATCCGCAGTTGTAATTGCTAAAGGAGATTTACAACGCCACTAAAAAGTGTTTGTTTATCAACTGTTGACAAGTGTACGCCATTCAAAACAGCAACCCGGTCACGTGACTCATGAAGGGCGTCTCCTGTCATTTCCACTCCATTGACAGTTGGCCGTACGGATGTTAGGTAAGATGTTATATGTTCCTCAACTCGGTTTGTGTATCACATACTCCTAGTTTAATGGTAAATACTGCATACTTGTATCACCCACACAGAGGGTGATATAACATTCCTTGACGAGTGGTATAATAATCTGTGCAATACCATATATACATCATAACTGAAAATACCCCTTGTTTAGAATATCAACAACTGTTTTCTTATAAAGTCAGAAAATCAGAAAGTGTAAGAAACATGTTATGTAGTAATATTCGTGAAGCTACATTTTATTTCTGTCTCTTGGCAACGGGCAGCACATTTAAGATGTTAATATTACATACATGAAGAGTACGAACAGTCAAAATGATTTTACAGGTCTTGGTCACTAATCAAAATGGCTACCTTCTGGGCGTCACAGAGTTCTATAATATCTCAATAGGCCGACAGACATCGGTCTGCTAAGAGTTTCAAGAATTTATAATGTAATGTATTAAATATGAATATGACGTCATGTGTGTCGTACCTAAATGAGATTTTAATACAAAACCCTTAAATATTCATTTATCCTTGAATGTATGGCCGTGTTGTTATTATTCGTTAACCAAGTATATCTCCAATAATTTCAGTAATAATGCTTTTATATATATCATTTGATCGTACACGATAAATAACTAAACGGAGGAAGGGGTATTTATAGATGTGACTACAAACATACGTTAACAATACGGCGATTCTCGGAATTGCAGGCTTCCCGTGAACCTGTTTAGCTGTACAGACATAACCACACACAGTGTATATCGATCCAGCCAGACACAACGTTCACTGTTGTTATGTTGATCTTCTGCATATAACACTCAGAAATTGATTGAATACCTGAAGTTTTTTATCAAGACATATATCACCAGGATAGTGTAGAATACAGGCAAGCACGCTACTGGTGGAAACAGAGTTGAATACCGTCACAGCATTGGACATAATATCAACTACTTGTTGTCATTAATGTTTTAGTTTCAATGTCAAGATCGTATTATGTACCTTTCATCTGCTTTTCTCTGGTCTGGTCGTTAATGACATGATACCAAGGACTAGGCACAATGGCACCAGTCGTAGAATTACAATGACTCGTACAACGCGACAATAGATACAAGAAACCAACAGGTGAACAGGCGTGTTATATAATAATAATGATTATTATATAGGTAGTATTTTTCCTGTACCACGATTGGTCAAAAGACATGAATGACTACAAAACACGATATTGACTTGAGTTTTCTGATAAATTACGATATTGACTTGGGTTACTAAAAATAGACGAAGGGGCTTCCCCCGCTTTTCAGCCAATCAGATCACTCGGATAGATGGCACAGTGTGTGCATTAAAAGTTTATGTTAAAACCCGTTTCTCTTTCAAAATATAATAAAACAATTATAGATTCTTGTAGAGGTCGATATCGGTTTTTATTGACCTGAGAAAAACAATAATATTTTACTCAGGTCAATAAAAACCGATATCGACCTCTACAAGAGTCTATAATTGTATATTCATTTCCATTGCGCCTAGTATCCATCTGACTAGTTGTTCACTGGACGCTGTAATCAGAATCTGATTATCATTACCCCGGATAACCCAAGCTGCCTGTTAGGCGCTAGAAGGTTATAGTCACATGACTATAGTCACATGACTAATGTTCGTCTCTTCTCACAGATCAATGCATGTGCCCTGTATGCATATTGAACGAAATAATCTTAGACCCATTAAACCCCATTTCCAGTCATCTGATTAAACACTTTAGATTGATAATGGAATCTGATATATTGCTAAAGCTATTCTATTGATACAGTCAAACTAGCTCCACTTCTGGTGAGAGCAAGTCCTCTGGTTATGTGCTTGAAAGCTTTGGACATGTTTCTGTCAACCTCATACTTGATATAATGAAGATGATAATGATAAGGGTACCATCTTAATCTTCACCACTGGATCCAATTCCTGCCTGGCTGTTCAAGTATGTGCTATACTATTTAACACCTGCAGAAAGGAACATTATTAACTCATCTCTCTCCTCTGGTACTGTTCCGAGTGTTTTTAAACATGCAATTGTCACGCCAGTTCTTAATAAACCTGGAGCTGATGAAAACAATTTAAAAATTGTCCGTCCAATCTCCAACCTTTAATTTGTATCGAAATGTTTAGAGAAAGTGGTAGCTGGCAAGCTGAAGGTGCATCTTGACAAACCATCTTGCAGAATCGTTCCAGTCAGCCTACAAGACTTCTCACAGTACAGAAACATCTTTGGTGCGAACCCACAATGATATCCTTGTCAATATGGGCCAGAAGAAGGTGACAGCGCTTGTGCTCCTTGATCTATCCAGCGCATTCGATATCATAGATCATACCTTACTCCTGCATCGACTTAAACATCACACATTGGGGTAACAGGAAATGCGCTGAAGTGGATCTCATCATATTTGCGAGGCCGCACACAATCCGTCAAAATCGGAAATGTACAATCATGGGGAACACCATATAACAATGGTGATTTTACCATTGTTATATGGTGTTCCCCAGGGATCAGTTCTCGGCCCCCTTCTGTTCACAGTCTACATTCTCCCCATTGGTGACATTATCAGGAGACATTTCATTGGTTTCCACATAT